ACACCGGCGTAACCTGAAGAAAATATCCAAAGGATACTAACTACCCGGACCTCTGAAGTGATGCTTGCCACTCTGCACGGAGCATGCCTGTCTCAACCTTTCTCAGCATGCTCTGTGAGTCAGTTACAATGACAACACGTGTGTACATCTGATTCTCAAGCCAACGGAAGGCAGCAGTGACTGCCTCCACCTCCATTCTCAAACTAGACGTTGTGATATCATATTCCAGGCTTTGTTGCGCCAAGCGACGTCCATTCACCTTAGCTATGAACTTCCATTCACTTCGTCTGCCCCTCACAACAGAGCCATCTGTATATACAATCACATCTCTTGGGCGGGAATTGTCATGAATCATTTGTTGAACTTCTGATTCTACAGCACCAGCTGGCCAGTCCCTGCACTCATGTCCCAAAGTGATTAGAACCCTATACAAGTCTGAAACATGATCGGACACTTTGACCCACTCCTTTCCTCGCCTAAATTTATCAAGCCTACACACATGTCGAATTGTGCCTTCAGCTTGCGCCATCCAAGACTTTCATCTTTTCAGTCTGTGACCCTTAGCTCTATCCAGGGCTTCATGCAGGAGATGCCTCTTGTCCGCAGCTACTCTGAGATATGACTTTGTTTGCAGAACTCTGAGCCTATCCGCAGTAGTAGGCAGTGCAAACACGTGAGAACAGGCAGTATCTGGGTCTGTCTCCTTCGATCACATCAATACTGCAGGAGTCCTTTTCAGGGCTTTTGATGGCGTACAATGCTACGCCATTTTATATGGCGCACATAACCTAGTCACAGGAAGGCGGGGGTCGACCTGGGAGTCAAGGTCATTTTTGAAAAAAGCCCAACTGTGGGGATGCGAACCCACGACCTTCCGATCCGCAGGCGGGCGTTTAGCCACCAACGCCAACTCCCAATTGTGGCGAGTACCTGTATCGTTTTTCTATTTAAAAAACAAATCCTTGTATGTAGCTTTTTGGAGAGGAGGGATAAGACAGACAAACAGATGACTTTATGAGAAAGACAAACGAGAGACGACAGAAAGATAAAAACGCAACGATGGGAGGGGAGAGAACGAGATGACGACTGCATGAGAGATAAACGAATGAGACGGCATGACAGAGATAAAGAAAAAAAAAGTGACGATGGGATGAGGGAGTTAAATGATAAACGATGCGATGAGATAAAGAGATGACAACAGGCTGAGAGAGAACAAGAGGATAGGCGGGTATTTGAGAGACAAAGGGAGACGATGGGTTGAACCAGACTAGGTGGACTGAATGACGACGGGCTTAGAGGGTCAAAGAGATGACGACGAGATGTGTGTATGTGTGTGTGTTTGCGGGCGCGTGTGTGTATGTGTGTGTGTGTGTGAGAGAGAGAGAGAGAGAGAGAGCGCGCGCGAGAGAGAGAAAAATAGAGAAGAGGAAAGAGAATGCAACAGGAGGCGTTTCCTCAGTTCAGTATCACTGATTACGTCTAGCAATGGAAAATTGTGTTGACGGATATTTTTTAAAAATTTATTTTGTTAAATTATTATATTTTTATTTTGTGTTGCCTTTGTGTTTTATATACATGTATATATAAAAATTTAAAAAATATTTATTAAATTAATATTGTTGTAGTTGTTGGATATTGAGATTATTACGCACTTACATTGTAACTTCCGTCCGGTCATTCTTAAAAATGGCGACCGTGTCTTAAATTTGTGTATGTAGATTGTGGTTAAAATATGCATTTTTACTATCTTTAGTTGTGTGCACCGCTCTTTTGTTGTGGTATTTATGTGTGTTTTTCAATCATGGAAGCAGATATTTGTGAAGAAAATGTTAGTCTCTTAGCAGCTGCAGTAACAGACGAAAAAGTCAGTGACAATATTGACGAAAATAATGTTGTTGGACTTGGGAACTCCCGTGTTGACAATGAACCGAATCAGAAACTTTCTAATGATAACGATAAATCACAGAACAGTGACGATGGTTTAATTAAATGATGAAGAAGATGAGTATTATGAAGTAATTTCTGCTGATGGAAGTGTTGGGGGCGATGTTAATGATGACATTGACAGCCCAGACGAGCAGTGTAATTTAACAAACTCTGGGTTGCCAACGGGGTCTTCCTCTGTTGACAGGTCTCACAGTGAAAAGTGCTCCTTTGTTGATCTCCCGTTTGTTCCAAAATTTGAGTTTCCACTTGATCCAAGTCAAAGTGAAAATGTGTCAAATTATGGAGCATTCTGTGTAAACCGATTTATTTCTGATAATATCCCTAAACCTGATAAAAATTTTACAGTTCCGCCGCCGAATTATAAGCCAATAGATATTAAGCCATTGTTTGATTCAGTGCAGGGCACAGTATTTAGTCCTCCAGTTCATAATCCTGAATTCTCCTCAAAACCGGAAATTGTAAGTGCTGTTTCCGAGAAACCGTGTGAGATTACTTCTAGTAGTCGGGTTATAGATCAGAAATCGAAAAAGCTTCCAGAACCTTCGAAAAAGGCTCAGGTTGTAGATTGGGTAGATGAAAATGGGGACCCACTTCCCGGGGCTTTTGATTATGTAAAGCCAAATGAAGAACGTGATGTAAGTGTGGAAAATACTAGGGTTGAATATGTTTATTCAGTGAAAGAAAAGAAGGAAGTGCCTGTTCAACCTGTTGATTCTAATGAGCCTTTTGTTTTAAATAGTGGTTTTCTAATCAGTCAAAATGTGTTGCATAAAAATGTAGCAGGAAATTTAGGTGTGAATTTAAGGTTACCACCAGGGATTGCAAGAAAGGTTCTAGATGAAGATGAAGAGAAGAAACTTTATGAAGCCTCTAAGAGTGGCGCTGAGTACAAAGCAGCTGTGCAAGCTGTTACAGCCTCCTCTTCAGCAGCCAGCACATCGGACAACAGAATTGATCCAGAGAAAGAAATTGGAAAGAAGGACCGTCCTCCAAGGTTCAGGCGCAACAGGTTTGCTGACATAAGGAAAGAAGATGACCAGCAGGATGAACCTGTAGACGTTAAACCTCAGAAATCTGCAGAAGAAGTGGCTCTTGAGAGGTATGATTAAGTAAATTTTGTTTTTCAAGTTAGTGGTGACAGTAGCAATAATGATGTTGATGTATCATCAGTAATAGAGGTGATAATAGTAATCTTTTTCTTTATATTTACCGACTGTAAACTCTGGCAGAAAGCTCTGGATGTTTGTCTACTTCCGGACTTTAGTTTTGCTCCAGAACCTGATTGTGGTGTGCACATCTGTTCCACAGATCTGGCTTATTTATGTGCAGACTGGTCGGTTCTCCATGCAATAACGGTCGCTACTTGGACGGCGACGGCCGCTTAGTCGGAGTTCAGTCCCCTGGCTGCAGTGCAATTACGGAGTGGGCAAGGCACGAATCACAAAACACAGTGAGTTCAACATGGCGTCTAGACCGTGCGCTGCGACTCACATTAGCCTAACCTTACCCAAAGCCTAACCCTACCCTACCCTTAACCCTAGCCCTAATTATGTCATTTGTGTCGTTCCCTCTTTTCCACTCCATAATTGCACTGCAGCCAGGGGACTGAACTCCGACTAAGCGGCCGCCGCCGTCCAAATAGCGACCGTTATTGCAAGGAGAGCCGACTGGTCCCTTGCCTTTCAGGCAGATGTACTCTGACTTCGAAGGATGTCCCCAATTGACTCCTACGACATGCTTGTTGGGGAGGCAGTGGGTCTGTTCTTGATTTCTCCACAATGTGCCCCCGGAACCCGTACGGGGAAGTAGTAGAAATTGCAGCTACCATTATTTTTCATGATTTGTTTGAAATTTGCTTTAGAAAACAGACTCTTGGCTCCTTGCCTCTCAGGGATATGTACTCTGATTGTGAATGATGTCCCAACTTAGTTTCATAGTATGAAACATGCTTTTTGGGGAGGCAGTGATCTGTTTTTGTTTTCCTACAGTGGGGCTTCGTAACCTACACAGGGAAAAATGGGCATAAAGAACTATACCTATATTTTATAGACAAATCAGCGCCTGGTCATTGATATGGTCAACATCCCTGCTGTCCACTTTTACATCCCATGATTTTACCTGGTACCCATTTAAGGCTGGGTCGACCTGGGAGCCGAGGTAATTTTAGAAAAGTCAAATCCGCCAGGGCCTGAACTCATGACCTTCGGATCTGCAGACAAGCGTCTAGCCGCTACACCATGACGGCTCTCAGAAAACAGTAGGAGTAAGTAGTAATAGAAGTACTAGAGGTGGTGGTAGTAGTAGCTGTATTAGTTTTAATAGTCAGTTTTTTCCCCTAAGATTTATTTTTACCAATTTATGTTTGTTCAAACTTTTTTAAACAGGTTTATTTTATTAATGAAAATAGGGAAACCTCGATTTTATAGATGCTCATTTATGGTCCAAAAGATTAGGGTTCAAGTCTACATTGGGTCCAAAGTCTTTCAGAAATGACCTTGACTCCCAGGTTGGCCCAGCCTAGAATGGGTACCAAGTCCTGCTTGTTAAGGAGCTATGGGTTTTTTTTCCCCCCATCCACACAGGGAGAGTTAGAGGCATGAGCATGGATGCTCAAGAGAAATCCTAAAGTGAATATTGATGCCAGATGCCACAGGTGCTGGACAGGATTTCATCCATGATATTAAAATGATTGCAGAGGGTAGGTAGATGCGCCCCACCAGGACATCACACAAGCGGTAAACACCCGGTGACACAGAGTGCCAGCATGCAGATGAAGATCACCCTTGGAGAGGTCCCAGAAACCCCTTTCAGCCGTTACGCCATATTTATGGCCCAGCTATATTCAGGGCCAGGGTGGGACTTCAAAATAACAAAAAATTGCATTCCAGAGGGGACGACTTAGGTATTAGGACGCTTATGACATTGCAGAGGGTAGAACAGAATATAGGGATAGACTAATGAGCCCTGTGTGACCTAAAGCAGAATAACGATGATGAAATATTATTTTCTGTAATTTTTTAAAAAAAATTTCCTTGTTTTTATTTTCAGCCAAGCTGTTACAGAAATCTTAAAGGAAGTCCAGCGAGGTGCAGCCAGAGCTAAGGAAGTAGGAGCTCTTGGGTGGTGAGTCACACATCATCATCATGTGCCATTCTGTTAAGCATAGGCTGTCATATTTTGCCATATCAGATAATCACCAGAATCAAGGGGCCAGGTCAGAGTTCTTATCTTGCCCCATTGATATGGCTGAGCCATCCAAGTGTAAAAATGTCTGCCCTCTCCCTTGCTATTATTACAAGGAAATTGCAAGTGGTTACCAAATTCTCAAGTACCTGCTTCTAATTTTTGTGAATCAGTTTACAGTTTCCACGTGCCCCGTTTGTTTGTTATTCCATTGTTTCATCATATTCTTTGCATTCTTTTCAAAATCTTATCATTCCGGGTACATTTTTTTTTTCAGATTGTCTATGTCTCACTTGCAAATTACAGTACACATTCTATATAGCACTTTAATACTCTTTTTAGCACTGCAGCTGATAATTAAGCAATTAAGTAGTCTGTAGATATTATGTTCTCCTGAACATCGAGAACTGGCTCATGAACAGCCTCATGTTCTGAAAGTGGACTTATTTTGGCCATTTTAAACAGCATGGTTACCTAGGGGGAGGGGAAACAGAGATAAGAGACAGGCCAAACAGTGGAGTTGAAATCTAGACATGAAAGATGCATTGGCAATGAAAGCACATAGCGCTGAAGAATTAGCTAGAGACAGAGAGACATGCAAGCATGGGATGAAGAGAGTGACCTTCGTTTAAAAGTGTAGCTAAATGCTATTGACTCTGTGCTTGTATAGTGTTTTGAAGGCCTGTATTTGGGTTGATTCAAGAACTAAGATCATATCACTTGGGGCATTCCCATAAGTGCTCTGTCCCTATCTTCAGCAGCCAGTGAAGAGTTCCAGTACTAATGGTGCCAGTAGCATTCTGATTAAACGTCCATCTTGCCTTTCCTCTGAGCCTCAACCATCTGCCAGAACCTCTTGTCACTCCCACTACATCAATCTCACCAGACTGTGGTGTTCCATCTGCTCCTCCGAACTGTACACGCTCCCACAAGGCACTAACCACGTCTGCCTCATCATGCATCAGTATTCCACCAAGTTGTGCAGAGCCAGCCAGTCTGCCCACCTGTTCATTTCCCAACACACCACCCAAATTTAAATATATTAAGTAAATATAGTATTTAGGGTTTCCTTGTAAATCCAGTAGTTTTTTAAAATTCAATTTGATCTAGTTTTCCTGTAAACCTCAGTGGTAGGGGTCACAGCATAAGTAACGTGATCTTATTCCCTTTCTTTTGTACTTCAGCTGGTAAATTTTATGCTGGTCTCCCCATTTACACACCGCTACACACTTAGCTCGCTTCTGATTGGACAACCTACATACCAACTCACTTTTGATAGGTCAGCCTCGAGCTAACATATAGTCACGGGGATATTCCGCTCTTGTGTTGATACCGCATGTTTTATATTTCACCATGCCAGAGCTTTTAACACTTCTAAAACATTTAGATACTGGGTCTAACACACAACTACCCTAGTGAGTGACAAAACCTATGTCACAGGCCGTCTCTTTATCAGAAATAAAAACGTATATGGAAGAAAACAACAGACTGCGACACCCATAACCTCGACCACGGTAACTAGTCCAACCAACTTATCAGTGGATTTGACCTACAACCGGTGGTGTGTAAATGGGGACATAGGCGTATCAGCCATGTGCATCTGTGGAAAGGTGCCCTAGACAGCAAAGCATGTACTCCAGGACGGCACAAAATTTGACATATTAAGGCAAACCTTTTGGCCAGAAAGAACAACAGTGGAATGTAAACTCTATGGACCACTGAATGAACTAACAACGACTGACATTTATACAAGAGACAAAATTGATGATATAGATAACTTATTTCAGGTGAACAAAAGAAGAAGAAGAAAATTGTCTTTTAAAACTGGTTTGTTGGGAGTAGATATGTGTAATAAGTAGTCCTGTTGTGGGATGCAATTTTTCGTTATTTGAAGCCACACCCTGGCTTTTGCCGGGGGCCATGAATATAGCTGGATCACAAATGTGACCATAATGGCTGAAAGGGGTTTTGGGACCTCTCCACGGGTGATCCTCATCTGCTTGGTGACACTTTGTGTCACCGGGTGTTTATTGGCTTGTATGATGTCCTGGTAGGGTACAACATGCAAGCAAGGCAGTGGATCTGTTCCCCCTCTCTCCCAATAGAGTGCCCTGAACCAGCACAGACAGTTTGTTGACTGTTTGACACAGCTGTATGTTAAAACTGAAGTAATATGTTTTAAAGTTTGTCTTATGTGGTTCTTCCCAGGCAGAAGTGTCCAATACCGGTCACAAATAAGACTTTCCTGCGCAACACCTTGGTCAGCACACTCCGAGAACCATATAGACCACCAGGAAAGCGGGGACGATTTCACGTAGGGTTGAGGTCAGATGAGGATGGCGGAAAGCACCACAGATCGAGAGATGATGACCGCACTAGTAGTAGCAGATCATCCAGGTTAGATCCATAAAGATAAGATTTTATGAAGGAATAAATAAATTAGGAGTGGATATCACTGCACTTTGGACATTCCCATAGATACTCTGTCTTCTTCCTCTGTAGACAATGAAGAATTCTCACACTGAAGGTGCCAGATGTAATCTGATCAAGTTTGTCGGTTTTTCCCTTCTTGCAGGGGGAAATTGTTCAGACCCTCTGCCTCAGTCTCACCTGAATCATTCCTTCCTTGTATGGATGCTTTGTTAGTTCTGCTGCACTGTTTACTTGACCTTAATAGTCTTCATTAAGCAGGGGGTGCAACAGCTAAGCACTCAGCCTGCTCATTACCACATTCACTCAAATATCCTAGGCAAAAATCTACAATACGCTTCTTATCTGAGTTTTATCAAGAGATGCAGCCGCTCTGAGGCACCACTTTCTGTTTTCTGAAGCGTGCTCTCTGAGGCCGTAATAATTTCCTCATGTTGGTCTGTACATTTTTCCAGTCTCCAGAGCGCTGTCAGATAAATTATTTTTGATGGTGGTATTAAATTAGTTAAGAATATGACTCTTTTTTTCTATGCTGTTGGGCATGTAGGGCTAGATCTTTTAACTTCCCAGGACTTGACCTGGTACCAATTTCTGTACTTTTTTTTTTGGGTTCCGAAATTGAATGTTGTGGGCATGTTTGTTTTACAGATCTGGCTTATTTGTATGCAGACAGTTTGTTCCTTGTCTCTCCGGCCCTCTCACACTTTAAAGGAAATATTTACCACATGCTTGTTAAGATTGGGGGGGGGGGGGGTGTCAACCCCCTACCCAAATGGGGCTTCGAAACCCACATGAGGACTTCTGTGAAACTACTTTAATTTAATTACATATGACTGTTGTCTATTGTTTAACAATATTTAGCTGTTCCTCTGCGGGTTGGCCTCATGTTAGATATTATTTATTTTTTTATTCTTCAGATTTTCTTGTTGTGTTTAGCTTTAGCTTTGTTTGTTTTGTTGTACACTCTTTTAACAGTACTTTTTCTTTTTAAATAATTGTTTCAAATTTATTAATTGATTTTCCTTTGAGGCAAGGACTTAGCAGTCTGCGTTCAAATCGGTCAGACCTGTGAAATGAATGTGCGCACAACACTCATTTTCAGTGTCCAGAAGTAAATGGACAGCCAACAATTTTGGCCGGAGTTTACAGCCGGTGAATGCGAAGAAGAAGATTTATTCATTTTTTTTTTAAAGATTTAAATTTTACTTTGAGGTTAGCAAATTAAGAACACCCGGCTATCAAGCAGGAGACCGAGGTTCAAATCCTCATTAAGGTTGGGGGTTTTTCTCTGTGAGGGCAAAAGTAAAATCCTTACCTGCACGGTCTATGGCAACAGTCCTTGCCATTACAGCCCCTAATCTGCAGGCTTTAAGATCTCTTGTCTACAAGCCAGACGGGTAATACACGCATCAATTGGCAGTTTTACAAATTGACCAACCGAATATATGATAAATAAAGTCTACATTTGCCAAATTGTGACCCAGTTTCAACCATTCACTGGAATTGTATTCAGCATTTTTGACTAGTCGTAGGCTTTTGGTATCGTAAGCATTAAGTGTCACTGTTCTACTATGGTGAAGTTTTAACATTTAAGTTACAACATTGTAGATTAATTATTTTCTTCTACTCATCTTGCTTGCATTATCTATATCTGTTAACACAGTAAAACAATTAAAAACAGTGATGTTGGGAAAAAACAACAGCTTTATTCATACCTTGCGCCATATTGCTGGAATGTTGACTGTATTTATATAGGTCAGCCTCCGTGTGGGGGGTTCTGGGGGCCCGTTGTGGGGGGGGGGGGGGGGTGGATAGACCTTGTGCCTCCTAACTAGGAGGTCCTTAAAGTTGACTAATTAGTAGTGTTTTCTTTGAAGTGGCAATGCATCTGCCTGAGAGGTTAGGAACCAACAGTCTGCATATAAATAAGCCAGATCTAAAGTCTGAATGCAGGCGAAGAACCAAAACTTTCCGCCAAAGTTTACAGCTGGTGAGTGCGAAGAAGAAGAAGATCAATCAGCTGGCACTTGATTGGTGTTATGGTCAGCATCATGTAGGCTGCCTTTGTTGTTTCTATAAATATCTCCTGTGTTGACCCGGGAGTGCAGGTCATGTTACAGAAATCCCTTTTAAAAATAAATTTGGAACAGATGACCACTGTGTCAGGCAGTCGTGCTAGCTACTGCATCATCGCCACTCCCAGTGTAATGGTAAACTACAGTATAAAAACCGGTTTACTACAGTATAAATGCCGGTGTAAATTGCAGTATAAATGTCGGTGTAAATTGCAGTATAAATGCCGGTGTATTTCAGCATTAAGGACCTGTTTGGTTTGATTAGCTTTTCATTGAAGAGGTAAACAGCATTTCAAATGTTTGTGTTTTATGTTAGATTCACTTTGAATTTTGTTTGTTATATTTTTCTTCGTATTTGCGTTCACCGACTGTCAGCTGCAGCGAAAAGTTCTGGTTGTTCTGCCACTTCTGGACTTTAGTCTTGTTCCAGAACTTAAGCTTTGCGTGTACATGCATATTGTAGATCTGCCTTATATTTGTGCAGACTTTTAGTTCCTCACATCTCAAGCAGATGCATGCAGATCATTTATCATACAAATGACCTAAATGTACTCAGGGTAAGGAACCTTGGGGTTTCAAGTAACACTGACTTTTGTTTTCTAGATGGCAATACATGGCTGTGTTATTCATGGCCGGCTGTGATTTTTTCTTTCAGTCATTGTGATTTGCTGCCGCTTACTGCTATTTGTGCACAATTCTAATGCAGATACATTGCAATTTTGGGGGAGTATCTTATATTGGGGTTTTGCTGTGTTGGATTGTAATGATGTCCGATAGAGATAGCGGTCTTTACCAGCACATAATGTTCGCACTGTTTTGAATGTGGCGTCCAAATCTTTGAAGACTGAACTCTCGTCACCTAGTAAGTGACTGCAACTATCTAGAGAGTAAGCTCGGATAAAACTGACTCCAGGAATAGAATGTGTCAATCATTTTTGTGTGTGTGCTGGATTGAAATAAAATCTTTCTTTGACAGTTAACCCTTTCGCTGCTATGGACGTCTTTTCCCGATTTCCCGTAGGCTGCTACGCCCGTCTTTGGATGTTTTTTTTCCTTGACCCCCAGTGCTATGGACGTCTCAAGCCGTTTTTGGACTTTTCCTACAGATTTCTGTTACCTCGTATTTTATTGGCTGAAGGGCAATGCAATATACATTAGCAATATTTAGATTAAACTGACCCATTTACATATGATTAAAATCACTGGCACGTGCTTTTAGGTGTGTTTACTGCATTCTGCGTTATCCCGTTGCTTTGTTTACCGTGACAGCATGGTCGGTGATCTGTGTATTTTGTGCCCTGATATATATTTGTGCTTTTGGATTATTCTACACTTAGTACAAAATGACAAGAAAACTTGTTAAAGTTGATAAAGAATTGATGGAGTTTCTGCCAAGAAGTGATAGCGAAGATGTCTTTGAAATGTGTACTTCTGACAGTGAACAAGAAGATTTGACTAGGCCATCAGTATCGACTGCTGAAACCGGCGTGTCCAAAAAAAAGCTGTTTGCCTGTCCGACGTCGTCATCATCGGAATCAGAGAGCAGCGACAATGAAGCGCCATCAAAACGGCATTAAATTGATCAGTTGTCTTGATGGACCGATGATTTGAAACCAGTAGTGCATAATTTTGATGACTCCAGCTCTATCTGTATTTCTGCTACTGTAAATTCAAACAGTTCAGTCACTAAAAATTCTCGTCTTTCCTGATGGACAGACACAGATTCGGACAAACTTTTTTTTTTTGCTGTCTGTCTGCTAATGCTTAGAACAAAGAAACTCAAAATAGAGTACTTGAGCAAAGACTGTTTGCTAAAAACTCCCGTAAATAATGTTGAGGGACATATTCTTACTATTGTTGAGAATCTCAAACATTTCTCAGACAACAGTGCTCATACAGGCGGCGATAGACTACAAACTTAGACACATTATTGATAGTCTGCGCAACTCATTCCTTATCATCATTCACACAGCACAATGCGTCAAGCGGTAGCATAGTGTAGTTGGTATCACGTTCGCCTTAGAATAGGAGGGACGTGTGTTCAACCCCCGAAGTTGTAGTTTTTTTTTTTTTATTACTGTAAATTTTCCTTTCAGTTCCTGCTACTTTTCAGCAACGGACGGCTCAAGTATTATTATTAATATTTTTTATTATTTTGGTATGTAATAACATGGTGACTACAAATAACTATGATTAAAGTGGCAGCCCTGGTAGGTTCGTCAATCAAATTTTGGGATACGGACTGGAAACAGTTCTTCACATTAATCCCTCCTCCCCCCCAGAAGGGTGATAGCTCTGTTAGTCAAGTTTGTGGGGCACTATCGTGCCTCTGACTTGTCACCACTGGGACCAACCACACAACTGCCCAGGGTAAAAAAAAATTTTAGGTGTACAAAATATAGCCCTCACTGCCAACGCATCTTTTGCATTTGGAGGATAGAAAAGTATTGCGCACAGCAGATACTTTTTTTTCACATTGCTTAGCACAGGGCAGACAGCTATTTCCGGGAACGTAGCAGCGAAAGGATTAAAGTGAGAAAGAATTCCGAAGAGCTACAGTCTTCTTCTTCTTAGCATTTACCAGCTGTAAATTCTGGCAGGAACCTCTGTTTTTTTTTTATCTCTCATAGACTTTGGTCTTGCTTGATCCAGCACATCCATTTTACAGATGTGGCATGTTTATATGCAGACTGTTAGTTAAATGCTCTTAAACTCTGAAGGAAACACCCTATTTAGTCGCCGCCTACGACATGTTTGTTTGAGGTGTAGTGGGTGTATTGTTTGTTCTTAAAAATGGAACGCACAAGGGGAAAGAGCTGTAAAAACCCTATCCTGATATATGGAAGTGAATCATGGACAGTTTACTGTCTAGCGCAGAAATATGTGGAAGTA